AACTGTTCTATATAATCTCTAATTCCTTCTAAAAACTATCACTCGGATACAGATCAAATGGATTTTGATCACAATATAAGAGAAATCCTTTACCCAAGTTCAAATTAGAGTTAGTGGAAGTGGCACAAAATAAATGGATAAATATTAGCTTGGATATGATTTATCATTTAATTTCAAGCATGCCTAATCATATAAAAGAAATTATTAGAGTTAAAGGTAAATACATGAAATATTAAATTATAATTATAAAATTTTAATTATTAAAATTAAAGAATTTAAATTTTATATAACCTGTAGGTCTATAGCACAGTGGTTAGTGCTTCACAGGTCAGATCACAAGATACTGGTTCAACCCCAGATAAAGACAGTTAAATAGTATTAATATGATATCTGGCACCATAACCAATCATGTACTGTTTCTTATAAGAAGCCATTTACATGCCGATCCAATAAGACGTTGAGATTGTGATTTCCCGTTAAGGTGTCACGGCGTAACGATTGTCCGGTTGGTGCATAATGATTGTCGAAAAGTTCTTTCATATGTAGGTTGTGCAGGCCCCCTATGTATGTTGTATCCAATAGGCCGAATCTGACCATTTCAGGATTTCCTAGTTTGGAGCTATCCCAATCTGGCACTTGCTTAAAAGAAGTCAGTCCCATCAAAAAGGATCTACCAAAGCCGCAGGTGGTAACAAGGAGCAAGTATCCCCTCTGAGGGTCTAAACGAAAAGTATCGTGGTGTCCGGAAATCTGATAACCAAACCACTGAAGGATAGATATAGCTCTTAGAAACTGGATTATAGGTTAGGTGGTTTAAACTAGTAGTAGGCATTCCTTCCCTATAGAAACCCCACCTGATATGTAAAATACTGCACCTTTGGTATACAGTTAGCATATTGGGTTCAAAAAAGATGGATGGTAAACTAATATATTACAATATTAGGCAGTATTGATTTACAATTGTAGACTATATAATCAGTACAATAGCAATTTTCAATTGTAAAAAGACACTTGATGTAATTTGATTTATGCAAGTATCAATAAAGATTTACATCATTGTATATTTATCTATAAAAAAAAAAAAAAAAGAATTTAAATTTTATTTTAAAAAAAAATTTTTTTTCTTTATACGTTATTATAAAAATATAAAAAAAAATAATAAAAAATTATGTAATGATTTTTTTCGATAAATTATGATATATATGTACTTCCTAATATATGCTTCAAAAACTGCAATTCTTGGTTAATACAAACTGCCAAATTGGATTTTTTTTAAGTATATAATAATACAATTATTAAAATATAAGTTTCAGATCTTGAGATAATTTTGCTAAAAAATTCTTTATTATTATTTTAAAAATAAACTCTTGATATAACAACTTCTATTTTTGTTGCTAAATAAGTGAATTTTTTTTTTTTTTTTTTTTTTAACGGCTAAGTGAGACTTTTCTCTAGTTTTTATTAATATGTCAAGTTGTTACATATATTACATATATAAGGATTAGACTATATTAATTTTTCTATATAAACTAGAGTCCACCCACAGGTAACTATGACCATTTGGGTTAAGTCTGCCACCATTATTTTTTATTTCCTGAATCTTCTTTAACTCTAAATCTTACTTAACACCCTATTCACTTTAATTTATTGTATATTTTAACCCTATTCAATTGTATCGTATTTTTTACTTAATGTAACCTACTGGAAATGATTATCAAGCTCACTTGTTTCGTACTGGATACTTGCACATATCTTTCATTTCTGGCAATTAGCCTGTTACCAACCAAGTGATCGTCACACCACGACACCTTTTTACTATTACTCCCATTGATATGCAGAGTCCTTCTTCCGCAAGAGTTTTCTCAACAGTTTGACCTAATATGGGTGCAGATACCTTTATGTATCCTGCCGGTTAAAATTTTCCAATGATCTAAATTCAATAAGAATCAATCTAATCGGTCAAAGCTTTTTTTGTCAGCAGTTAAACCTGATATGGTATGCAGTCGTGCATCCTGTCGGTAGGGAATTTCTTTCAGACCTACAATCGAACAATTGTGTCTTCCTATCATATACATTGTAGATTTTATCTAATCAGGATAATGATTAGTTACATGTAATACCATAGGTGAATTCCATATTCAATTGAAAATATTTTAAATATTTTGCCTCTTGAAGAACTTGAACTCGGATTCATGTGATAGTGACCTATGGAGCTTAACCACTAAGCTATAGACCCATAGGTCTGCTAAATAAGTGAATTGTATCAAGCCAATGTAAAATAAAATCTATAAAAATCAAATTTTTTATATAATTAACGTTATAAATTGGGATTGGCTTAATGAAAGGGCCAATTAACAACTTCACATGTGATTATTCATTACATAATTAGTCTCGTCGTAGGACGCGTCAATTATTAATTATTGTTCGTAGCTTTAACAATGAAAGCAAAAACTTTACAAATTCGTTGGCATGAAAGCACATTGGCTATTTATTCTGTGCACTTTCAATCAGGAAAAACAGGAAGATTTGCAACTGGGGGTTTGGATTGCAATGTTATGGTAAGAACAATGTTAAATTTATGTTTTTGAAAATACTAATTTTATTCTCTTTTAAAGATATGGAAACTTGCCAAAAACCAAAAAGCATTACCACACGTTGCTTATTTGTCAATGCTAAAGCGTCACACTGCTCCCGTTAACGTAGTCAGATTCTCGCCTAACGGTACGTAAAATTTATTTGACGCGTGTTATATGTAAAAATTAATATATGCATTAATTTTTATGAACATAAAGGAGAGTTGTTGGCCTCTGCTGGAGATGGTATGTTAATTGTCGAATTCTTGGTAAAAAATCGTCTTTATACTAATCTAGAAACTGAATAGATGGAGTCATTTGTCTATGGAAACTGTTGGAAAATAACGATTCAACAAGCTCTTTTGGTGAAGATTTTGATGGAGGTTCTAATAGGGATCCAGAAACTTGGAAAGTAATTTCTCT